TTTGAGGAGAATTGATAATTCTTTATTGAATGTTAGGTAAATTCACCTGCAAGCCATCTGGTCTAGGGCTTTGTTTGTTGGGAGCTTGTTGATTACTGATTCAATTTCACCGGTAGTAATCAGTCTATTCAGATTTTCCTTTTCTTCTTGATTCAGTCATGGAGGTTGTATGCTTCTAGAAAATTATCCATTTCTTCCATATTTTGTAATTTGTTGGTGTCTTAAATTTTTTTGTATTTCTGTGGTATCTGTTGTCACTTCTCTTTCATTTCTGATTTTGTTAATTTGGGTCCTCGCTCTCTTTTTCTTGATGAGCCTGGTTAAAGGTTTGTCAATTTTGTTTCTCTTTTCAAAAAACCAGCTCTTGGTTCAATTGATCTTTTTGTTGTTGTTGTTGTTCTTTTTGTCTCTATTTCATTTATTTGCATTCTGTTCTTTACTGTTTCCTTTCTTGTACTCCCTTTGGGCTTATTTTGTTGTTCTTTTTCCAATTCCCTTAGATGTAAAGATAGACTTGATTTGAGATTATTTTTCTGGTTTCTTTAGGTAGGCATGCATTGCTATGAATTTCCCTCTTAGGACTTCTTTTGCTGCATAGCATAGATTGTGTTTTCATTTTTGTTTGTCTCGAGGTATGTTTTGTTCTTCCTTGATCTCCTTGACTGACTCACTATTTAGTAACATGTTATTCAGCCTCCACATATTTGTGTTTTCCAGTTTTCTTCTTGTAATTGATTTCTAGTTTCATAGCACTGTAGTCAGAGAAGACGCTTGATATGATGTCAATCTTATTAAATTTATTGAGACTTGTTTGTGGTCTAACATGTGGTCTATCTTGGAAAATGTTCCATGTGTGCTTGAGAATAATGTATATTCTGCAGCTTTGGGGTGAAATGCTCTAAAAATATCGATTAATTCCAACTGGTCTAATGTGTCATTTAAGGTCACTGTTTCTGTGTTGATTTTCTGTCCATTGGTGTCAGTAGGGTGTTGAAGTCTTCTACTATGATTGTATTACTGTAGGTCTCTGTCCTTATGTCAGTAAATATCTGTTGTATATATTTAGGTGCTCCTATGCTGGGTGCATAAATGCTTGCTAGGATTATGTCCTCTTTTGGGATCGACCTCTATATTATTATGCAGTGCTCTTCTTTCTTTTATTATAGTCTTAGTTTTAAAGTCTATTTTGTCTGGGATAAATATTGCTACCTCAGCTTTTTATTCGTTGCCATTTGCATGAAATTTGTTATTCCATCCCTTACTTTGTCTGTGTGTGTCATTTGATCTGAGGTGAGTCTCTTGCATATGCATGGGTCTTGTTTTCTTATCCACTCATCCACCCTGTGTCTTTTGATTGGAGCATTTAATCCATTTACTCTTAAAGTGATTATTGATAGGCACATATTATCATTTTGTTATTCATGTTCCTGGTCTTCCCTTGTTAGTTTGTTTTCACCTTTCTTCTGCTTAATGTACCACTTTTAACATTTACTGCAGTATTATGTTGGTGGCAATGAATTCCTTTAGCTTCTGGGAAGCTCTTTATCGCTCCTTCAATTTTAAATGATAACCTTGCTGGGTAGAACAATCTAGATTGTAGGCCTTTGTTTTTCATCACTTTGATTATTTGCTGCCACTCCCTTCTGACCTGCAAACTTTCTGTAGAAAAGTCAGCTGATAGTCTTATGGGAGCTCCCTTGTAAGCAATATCTCTTGCTGCTTTTAGGATTCTTTGTTGTTAACCTTTGCCATTTTAACTATGATGTGTCTTGGTGTGGGCCTGTTTGGGTTTGTCATGTTGGGACTCTCTGCATCCCTGGGCTTGTATGTCAATTCCCTTCACCAGGTTATGGAAGTTTTCAGTCATTATTTCTTCAAATATGTTCTCAATCTGCTGCTCCCTCTCTTCTCCTCCTGGTATTCCTATGATGTGAATGTTATTGTGCTTGAGTTGTCCCACAGGTCTCTTAAACTACTTTCATTGTTTTTTAATCTTTTTTCTTTTTGTTGTTCCAATTGGGTGAATTCTGATCCTTTGTCTTCTAAATCCGTGATTCACTCCTCTCCTTTATCTAATCTGCTGGTGATTCCTTCTAGTGTATTCTTCACTGCAGTTATTGTATTCCTTATTTTTGACTGGTTATTTTTCATGGTTTTATATTCTTCTTTATGTTTGCTATCTCTTTGTTGACATTCTCACTAAGTCCCCTCTGTCATTCTCATTATCATTTAAACTCTGTTTCTGGTAGGTTGACTGCTTCCATTTCATTTAGTCCCATTTCTGGAGGTTTCTTCTGTTCTTTTATTTGGGATGTGTTTCTTTGTTTCCTCATTCTGGCTGTTGCCTTGTTTTTGTTTCTCTGTATTAGGTAGATCACCTATGTCTCTGAGTCTTTGTTGGGTGACCTTATGTAATATGTGACCTTTGTAGTCAACTTGCTCAGTGTCCCTAATCTCCTGTGCGTGGGTTCTAGAGGTGATCCTTGTGTTGTCATTGTTCTCCTGTTGTAATTGCTTTTGGCTTGTCAGTGCATGGGATTGGCTCCCAGGCTAAGTACCTATATGGTAATGCCAACAGTGTGTGAGCTGCTGTGGGAGGGCTGATCCCTCAGCGGAGGCTTCACCCCTGCATGCTCTTGTGCCGGTTGAGAATTCCCTTTGGGCGTGTCACCTGTACATCAAAACAGATAGTGCTGTGGTTTGGTCTGAAGCTGGCCTCTGTGTGCATTGATTCTTGTGCCTCTTGGGCAGGGCTCTCGTGTAGGGCGATTTCAGAACAAACAACAAAGCACGGCAAGAAAAAAACAGACCCAAAATACACTCACACGTTGGAACAACCAACACTCACCCCAAACAAAAATACCAAAAATACAAAAAATAATACAGAAAAAGAAGGAAGTATAGATCAAGAAAAGAAAAAGGAGAAAAGAGAAAGGGAAAAGAAGGAAAAAAAGATATCTAAAAATGAAAATGACATAACAAAAAACAGCCCTGGTCTTGGCTTAAGCTCAAAGTTATCTGTGGGTTGTCCTCTGCTTTAGAAAATCCTCTCTGTGTCTTGTAGAGGCAAGGCCAGTCACCTGGCACCCAGAGGGCCCCTAGCAATGCCATTCTAGGCAGGTGGGACTATGGGATGTTGTCAGTAGTTTTTACAAATTCAGTGCAGTTTCTGCTCTTGCCTACACAAATGCACGATAAGAACACCATGGCCAGCCACCAGGAGGTGGGCTTCTTCTCTGTGAGCAGGTCACCTGGGTCTTAGGACACTTTCTTCCATGGGGTGATGTGGAGGGCATGAGATTTCTGAGCTTCTGACAGGCCAGAGCTGCCTCTGCAACCCGCTGCTAACACCTGTATGTGTCTCAGCAGCTCTAATTGCCCTGCTGGGAGCCTCCCATAAAAGCTGGGGACTGAGTAGGCAGATGCCTTTTTCTCCCGGACAGCCCAGCAGTATCACACTTGTCCCTGCTGTTTCCCTTGGCAGCAGTTGTTAAACCAGTTTTGCCAGTTCTTGAAGGTCTCAGTTCTTCTGTAATCCTACACTGCTTTTTCCACTTCTGGGACCTGCTTATAACTCTGGAAGGGCGGGGGTTGTGAGAGCTCTGGGAGGGTAGGAGGAAGCATCCAGGCACCATGCTTTTTCTGTTTTCTGCCTGACCATGGTGGTTTAAGCCACAGTTCTCAGCTGCGGTCTCTGCCTTGGACGCTGGGCACTGCTGTCCTTTATGCTGATCCCTCGGCAGGACTGTGGGGGCACAGGGAGAGAGCTCGTAGCCTGGCTGTTGTGATCTCTGGTAAGCATGCATCCTGGGGCCCTGTGGCTGTGCACCACGTCTCTGCGTCTGCGGGCCGTGTCTCTTCACTTTCCCTTTTCCTCTTCTCCCACTTGCCTAGTTTGCCCACCTTTGGGTAATCCTTGTGCATGCCTCTTAGCTGTTCCTGTGTGATAAGCAGAGAATCCTTTGATTAATTATAGGTGTTCAATATGTGGTAACTTCCAGAGGAAATTCCAGGAAGCGCCCCTCATGCCACCATTTCTCTCTTGGAAGTTTTTTCATGAATATCTTTAGTTGCACTGTTGTGGCTGCCTCAATATCCTAAATCCATTCAAAATGTTTACCTTTCATGGTCATTTTGACTTTGGGTAAGAACCAGAAGTCACATGGTGCCAGATCCTGTGAATAAGGTGGATGAGGACACACCCTAATGTTTTTACTTGACAGAAACTGCCATACCAGAAACAATGTGTGACACAGAGCCTCAGAGCCTTTCCACTGTGATCAAAACATGGAGTGAATGCTGCTGCTGAGTGCAATCCAATGGAAAGGCATGGATCTTCAATACAAGATCAGCGCATCGAGCCTTAGTAACAGTGTGTGACAAGTTTCAACTTGTTTGGTGCAGTCAGTCGGGTGTGAGCTACAGTTGAAAGATGTGTTTTAAAGTGTGCCATAAATCATCCTCCATCATGACAACACTCCGTGTCACATATTGATTCTGGTACATGGCAATTTTTGTCAAATAAAAACATTACAGTATGTCCTCATCCACCTTATTCAGCAGATATGGTACCCTGTGATTTCTGGCTCTTCTCCAAAGTCAAAATCGTTCAAGATATCAAGGTACTCATGACAGAAGAATGAAAGGCACTCACAAAAGAAGACTTCCAGAACTGCTTCAGAAAGTGACAAGAATGATGTTCTGTAAGTATATTTGAAGCCAGAGGGAGTCTTTTGAGGAGGATTAATGGCAATGTGTATTTTACTGTAATACTTTTAAAAAATTTATACATTCACCATATTGTTTGATCACACCTCATACATAAACATTTTTTATGAAAGAATTGCAAATTTATCACCTAGTGATCCATTATAAAACTGAGATATTGACAAAGACAATGCTGTATTTATAATATTTCTTTCCTGGTGTGAATTTCCTGGAACATTTTATAATAAGTAGAATGAGGTTTTCCAATATGACTGCAGGTTATGAGTCCTCTCTAGAAAGAATGACTTAAGCAAAAACTTTCGAGTATTGCATGCATTCATGGACTTGCTATCCAAGTGTGCACTTTCACATGGTTTCTAAAGGATGAGGGCCACATGAAGACTTTTCCACAGTGTTGACATTTGTGGGGGTTCTTTCCAGTGTGTATCCTCATGCGTTTTTGTAAGGATGACGACCAACCGAAGGCATTCCCACATTGTGTGCATTCATACGGCTTCTCTCCGGTGTGTGTAGGTTCTCACGTGACCTTGGAAGGATCTGGAAGAAGTGAAAGCTTTCCCACATTTTTTACATTTATACACTTTCTCTTCAGTGTAAATTCTCAAATGTTTTCAAAATGTTGAGGACCACCTGAAGGCTTTTCCACACTGTTGACCTTTACAAGGTTTCTCTCCAGTGTGAGTTTTCATGTGATCTTGAATGGACTTGGGAGAATTGAAAGCTTTCCCACAGGTCACAGGTACAGAGTTTCTTTCCAGTGGTTGTCCTCACATATGCTCGAAAGTTTTCAGGCAAACTAAATGCTTTCCCACATTCCTTACATTTATATTGCTTGTCTCCACTGTGAGTTTACACACGTCCAGTGAGACAGGAGACCTCGCGGAAGGCTTGCCCACACTTCCTACATTCGTAGGTTTTCTCTGCAGTGTAAATATTTACATGTTGAGCCAGGCAATAGGGATGACAAAAAGTTTCCCACACACTTCACATTCTTAGGGCTTCTCCCTAGTGTGTATTATCATGTGCTTTGGAAAGACTGAGGGATAAATACTTTCCCACATTCCTTACATTTATACGGCTTCTCTCCATTGTGAGTTTGTACATGTCTGGTAAAACTAGAGAACTGCCTGAAGGCTTGCCTGCATTGCTTGCATTCATAGGTTTTCTCTGTAGTGTGGATCTTCATAAATTGCCTGAGGGAGAATGAATGCTGAAAGGTTTTCCCACATATTTACATTCATAGGGTTTCTCCCCCATCTGTGTTATTGTGTGTCTTTGAAAGATTCAGGGATAAATGAAGGCTTTCCCACACTCCTTACTACATTTATATGGCTTCTTTCCTGTGAGTTCCCACAATCTAGTGAGACTGCAGAGCTTACTGAAGGTTTCTGCACACCACTGGCATTCATAATTTTTCTCTGCAGCATACATCCTGATGTGTTGAGTGAGGCAATAGAAATAAGGATAGGTCCTCCCACATAATTTACAACCATAGAATTTCTCCCCAGTATGAATGCCCAGCTTGAATTCCTGACACTGATGTGGTTTATGTCCACGGTGACATCTAACGTGCATCTTGAGGGAAGAAAGATGTGTGAAGCCTTTTCCACACTTGGTACATTCAGATGGTTTCGCTCCCACAGAAATGGGTTTGTGCAGATTAATTCGAGGAATGAGACTGAAGGTTTCTCCACATTGGGTTCCTTTATTCTGTTCACAGAGTCTGTGCATGACATGATTTCTGTTAAAAGTGAGAATCACTTTATTAATGGTATGTTTACTAATTATTTGTTATTAACAATAAATATTAGAACTACATGTCTAACTGCGTTTCAGTATTTCAGGGTACAAGAAGCTTTCTGACCTGTTCTGAATTGTCTTGAAGTTAAATAAACTGAGTGCTCTGGGAAAGAGCCCAGGTATAGTCTCTATTCATACACTCTGTTATATGTGGGATTTTCCCATAATTGTTTGTAGCTGAATTGTTTCAAACACTCAATGTCTAATTTAAATTAAAATTTTTATTGTTAAATCCACATGAATAAACAAATGTAGAGCTGAGATAATTTTTATTTTTTATTTTTTATTTTATTTTTATTTATTTATTTATTTATTTTATTTTTTTTTTTTTTTAGCTGAGCCATCCTGCCACCTGTTGGCAGCTCACCGGCTGCTCAGTTCGGGCTGACTCGAACCACTGTTGCTCAGAGCTCAAACTCTTGAGCGAGCTCTTAACCAACTGAGCCACTCAGCCGGCCCCTAATTTTTATTTTTTACTACTTTATGATGTACTAAGATTCTCTCCTGGGACACTACCACTTTCTATTGTGAATGCAACTCACTTCTGAGGTCTCCTGTGGTTTTTTGCTCATTTCCATGCTATGGTTTTCCTCATTTTTTACTAAAATGCAGGCACAAGAATCACTTCTTGTGAATTTCGCTATCTTCTGGTTTTTAGATATTTTTTCCTCATACATACCCTGCTGAGTAATGAACCCTCTCTGGCTGTATACGGTGTCTCATATCTGAAACCAAAAAAGTGAATAAATATATTAAGGAACAAGGTACTGTGAGCAAAGATTTTGAGGAGTTTGGTGCTTTCAAGACTTCATCAGTGACAGGCACAAGGGGTCCAAATAATGGGTAATTCCCTAAAAACCATCACAAGGTGGTAAACAAGAAAACTCTCTATGAATCAGAATGATCCATGAAGACTATACCCACATTACTGACATTAACAAAGCCTCAGGTCTTTTAAACCAAAACAAAAACAGTCTCAGTTTAATACTCAAATTTCCACGGTCATAAAAACATTAGACTCGTGGTTTGTGGTGACTGTGACCATCTCTCCCTCGTTTACCAATTAGTCCTTTTCTGCATGTCAGATCTTGGAACAGCACTGATGAAAAATACTTGTTCACTAAATGACTAAGTACAATGATGAAGCCATCCTTGCCCACTGAAGACAGGTTCCAGCAGGTCTCTAACATCACTTCTCTGTAGAGCTTCCTCTGAACGAGTCCCACAAAGCCCACCCCTCCCAGGTGAAGTTCATAGCCACACCTGCAAAGACCACTGCATCCTGAAACACCCAAGTGTGTGCAGGAAGGTGGGTGAGTCTGAAAGCACTGGGGATCTCCCCGGACTGCTCACACTCACTTCCTAGTAGAGTGAACAGCTCCACTAACACTATGAACTTGACTCTGTAGTTTACTGTGACTACTCTTGTCTTACTCCTCTCTCTCAGCAGGGTCCAGAGAGATGGCATAGAAATGAAATAAAGACTTCCATTTGAAATTGTGCAGGAAAAGGCCACCTCAGCAGGCCTCAGTTGTCCAAACACTGAACACTGTTTAGGACTAATTGTTGACCGACTCCTGGGAGAAAGTGTGTGGGCCCTTGGAATGTGCAGTCTGATGAGAGTGTCTGTGTATAGCTGGGGTCTTGGACCATGGCAGAATTTATGCTGACAAGGTGACTTATGATTAATGTCTGTCTCAGCCACCTGGGACACAAGTACCCTGTGCTTACGTGACCAACCTTCAATAAAAACCCCAGACTCTAAGGCTCCAGAGAGGTTCCCTAGTCAGCAATATTTCAAACATGTTGTCACACATTAAGCTCTGTCCATGTGTCTCCGTTGAGAGGGGCCACTGAAATTTTAGCCTGGTTTCTACTGGTTTTCCCATATGTACCTTTTTTTTCCCACTGATTTTAATATGTGTCATTCCCTGTACTAAATGCCAAACTGTGTATAACCATGTTTCAGAAATAAATCCTCCTGTGAGCCCTTAGAGAGCACCCTAAGACTCGAGGGTGTGCTTGTGGACCCGTGACATGGAATATATCCTTGTGATAAACCCCAAACTGCCCATCCAGGCCCTCAGTGGTCTCCAAAGTTGAAAATTGCCTCCACAAACAGATACATCACAGTGGAAATGGTGAAAGTCAAAAACAAGGAGAAAACCTTGAGAGCGGCAAGAGAAAAACGTGTCACTTAAAAGGAAATCACAGTGATACCAAGAGGTGACGTTTCAGCAGACACAGTGGAGCTCGAAGGTGATGGGATGACACATTCAAAGTGCTGAAAGACCAAAACACTGTCACTAGGGATCTGGGCCCAGAAAGCCATCTTTCAGAAAGGAAGGTGGGATGAACACATTCCAAGATGAAAACAAACAAACAAAACTACAAGAATGTTTCTTTGACCAGGAAAAACACCTCATAAAAAGTACTAAGGAAATCTGATAGCAATTGTCCCCAACAGGAACTCGAATCCATGTGAAAAAACACACTGGCAAAGGTAATTATATAAATGCATATTTTTGTCCCTTATTTTCTTAAATGATTTAGAAAGTGATTGTGTAGAATAAGGTGTTTATTGTTGGGTGTATGACACAGGAGGTGTAATAGTGTGTCATCTTTCCAGAAGTGGTAGAGTACTCATGAAAACGTGCTGTTGGGGCTGGCCAAGTGGCGCGATGGTTAAGAACTGGCTTGGGATGCCAGAGGGCCCCGGTTTGGATCCCACATATGAGGGCCAGTGACACTGCCCTC